GAAAAAATTGGGTATCTTCTAACTTGGGCTAAGAAATCATCTTCAAGCCTTATCAGACATTGTCCATAACTATTATTTTAAGAAGTTTATTTAAACATTCAAACCAAGGGAATAAGAAAACTATTTGAGCACACCTTAACTATATCTTCTTTTCTTTAGTTCTGTTTGTTTGTTTAAGCAGAGGGAAAGGAGAATTGTCACAGTGGCCTGGAATATGGTATCTGGAGTCAGATAGCAAAAATTCAAAGTGCAGCTGTACTACTTAGAAGCCTGTGATTCTGGGAAAATTAATTACCTGTCTATATCTCAGTCTTCTCATCTATGTAATCATTATACCTAAGGGTGCATAATTATGCCAGAATCAAAGGACTGTTCTGAATATTAAGTTGCACAATATAAATATTCAACATGCTATCTGGCAAATAGGAAGTTCTTAATCAATGTCACTCATTATGATGATGACAAGTATTCATTCACTTAACGGTATTTATTGAGTAACTATATGCTCTACCATAGGGACAAAATGATGAGCAAAATAGAAAATAACTGTCCACTAGGCAATTTTTGTTAGAGACAAACAATAAAAACAACACAGATATTAATATATGGTTATAGGAGACAAGGAGAAATTGAATAAAAAGTAGAGAGCAGTTACTCTAAGAACAAAAAAATAAGCAAATGTAATAAATTTAAAAAATTACATTAATTTTCCCAGGGGATCAACGAACTCTTCTTTGAGAAAGGTACAAAGCTCTTACTTAAGACATCTCAATGATCAATAAGAATGAAGGCAGAAAAGGGTGGGTTGAGGGAAGAAGAACCACTATAGAATGGGACAAAATAAGTTTGTGAGGCCCAAAGGTAGAGGGAAACACTACGGGAGGACCCTGAGTCTGGAAGACAGAAGGTGCAGGGGAGGTTGGAGAATGAAGGACCTTGATAATAGACAAGGTATAGATCATCCAGTGCTTAGCAGTATGGATTGTAGTCAGATGGTGGCAGAAATGCTTTGCAAAGAAAAAAGGAAAGCCATAGAGGCAGCAAAGTGTTTCAGATTTTCATTTTATGATTTTCATTCACTCCTCTATGGAGAATGAATTAGAGATGGCAAAATTAATAAGGGAAGACAATGTAGATGGCAGTGGTAGAAGTTGAGTTGTAAAGGGACAGTATCGTAGAATTAGGTAGACAAGGAGATGGAGGGAAACAGGAGAGATAGAGGAGGGAAATTTTTAAGATTTATTTTATTTTAGAGAGGGGGGGAGGACAAAGGGAGAGGGAGAGAGAGAAAATCCTCAAGCTGACTCCACTCTGAGTGTGGAGCCCAACAGGGAGCTCAAACCCAAGACTCTGAGGTCATCACCTGAGCAGAAATCAAGAGTCAGACATTCAACCAATTGGGCCACCCAGGTGCCCCAAGGAGGGGAATATTTGAAGCAAAAGTGACAGGGCTTGGTGGAATATTAAAAAATGATGGGGAAGATGATGTTGGCAAATACGATCCTGGAATTTTTGGCTTCTGCAACCTAATGCATAGAGAGCTGTTCTCTGAGATAAATAAGGAAACTGAGCAAGAGAGAGGGGGAGATTATGAGTTCAGTTTTATCCATGTTGTATTTATTTGTGTCTATGATATCCATAAGAGAGGTGTGAGATCAGAGGTCAGGGAGGGGGCGTTTAGATTTTGAGATGCAAATTTAGAAATACAGTTTACGGACAGAAACTGAGGCCATGGAATCAGATGACAGCATTGTGTGAGCATTGAGAAAACTAAAAAAGCAAGCAGTTGACCATGGCATCTTCTTTTCCACTCACGTTACTACAAACTGCAAGAATATAAATATTTCTCTTTAGTTCTTAGTTCACTACCTATAGAATTTTGGGTAAAAATATCCACACCAGAAATATATGATAATCTGATTAGCTAGAAAATTATATACTTTCCAACAAAAGTTCAGAACTGAGTAGAGAAAATAAATGACTAATAACATAGGGCAGGAGCCTATTACTGTACTTTAGAATTCTTAATGGTGTAATGGTTAAGGTGTTAGAATACTGAGGTCTGTTTATGTATGCCTAGTAGGATAGGATAAGATAAAGGCTGGGTTTAGGCAATAAATTAGTTTCCCAGTGTCTTCTTGCTACCTTTATGTTTAAACTCCATTAGAGCTTGACCTTTCCAGAATTTCTGAGATTATGGGCAGTTTTCCCCTGAGCATCCTGTAGCAGCTGTTTGAACAACAAGTTAAACCAACTGAGCTACTTATACTTGTCTAAAACAATGTTCCTAACAAAGGACCAGATGAATAAAAAGATCAGAAAATGAAGAGAAAAAAAAGAGGCCAACTCTTGTTTTAGACATGAAGATTGATTTAGCATGTAAGTCAGAACTGATAAAACAAAATGCTAAATATCAAATGTGACATCATAGTATGGTGATACAATAATGACCCAAGTAATCAAAAATATCATGCAGGGGTTACCTAGTTTATGTACTCATTGATCTTTATAAACATTATGCAGATTCTTTGCATGTCCTGTGATGGAAACAAAAGTAAATCCATATTACTGACTGTTTTACATATTATTTTTTATTCAGTACTTAACTTTGGAAATGCTGTCTCTTCTGAAAAGTGAACCCTATTCTTACCACATGTTAAAATTTACACATATGTAATTATAATATATGTGTAATATCTATATGCAGTGACTATTAAGCATAGTAGCATGGCTTCCATCAATCACAAGCACAGAACCAATGACCTATGAAGGTTTAGGAACTCATGAAATCCACATTATCAGTGCCAACTCATTTGTCCAGTAAGAATTTCAAATTTATCTAAAGGATTTAAGTCTTAATAAGATTTTAAAATAAATAAGACCTGGTTTTCAATGTTTTATACACGTAAGAACTCATAGGAAACCCTCATTCCAATAGCTAAGATGGATTTGGTGGTACTTGCTTATTTTCAGAATTCTTTTCACTTACAACTCTTTGTGAATAAAAACACTGGTATATGTTCAAAATTTGAGAACCAGAAGTTATACCCAATGGGTGTTTTGTCCCTAACTGAGCTATATTAGTTATTAGTTTTATTTTTTGTTTATTATAATTTCTTAAGTCAGTATTTCATTAGTATTTTCAAATTCTTCAACTTACATGAAAACCTTCAGAAATTACTCATGACAAATACACCTCACTTACTGAAAAATGTATTTGTTATAAAACAAATTTATAAAAATTGTCAAATGTTAATAGTTCAGAAGGTCAATTTTAAGATGATTTGAAGACTTTACAAAATTTAAAAAATAATCTTTTTTCATGAACTGTCCAACTTATAAAAATATCAGTTTCAATATGGTAATTAGCAAATATTTAACCCAAACTGTTTTCTTTTAAATACATCAGGGGAACTGCAAAGTGCTTATGATTTTTGAAAACTGAAGAAAAAGTTTTATATTTTCTACCTTAAAGAGGGTAAAGGCCAACATATTTTATTGGAATAAAAAAGATCTAAAACTATAATAAGTAGTGAATACATAAGTCAAATTACTTTATATTATTAATGGTATCCAAAGTTATAACTGTCTTGGTTAAATATCTTACTTAATTGAATAATAGATAAACTTTTATTTGGGTCTGCTTTATATGGAAAAAAACTTTGTCATACTTGAACATTTTAAATTAAACTTTAATAATATTACATGATAATAAATGTCTTCACAGATTATGTTCAAGGGTCTTAAAATTCCAATTCAAATCCAAATAATTCATACAATTGAAAATTTTAAGGATGATTTTTTAAATCTTTAACTTCACGTCTGTCAAATAATTAAAGAGCGACTATAATATTATTTTGCTCTATGCTTTCCCTTTGTGACTTAATCAACTTTATAAGAAGCTGATTCAATCAACCAGAAGTTTAAAAGTTGTTTCTGTTTCTAATTTGTTATTAAGTGATAGTTAAATTTCATTAACACATTCATTATCATTTTCCTATAGTTCCTATGGTTCCTCAATAATGTATTCTGATATCATATGAATTTAAATGCAAATCTTTTCATATCCTCACTCTATGCCAAAAGTAGTAATGATCTAATGCAGAATAATGAGTCAATTCTCTAAAAATGTAAAACTTAGAAGTTTTATGTGTGTGAAGATTTTCCCTAAGTCTCGAAAGTAGAACTCTTCCCGAAGAATGTAATATTGGAAATACACAAAGCACAAACGTTGACCTGCTTCCTAAAGATACACAGTCCCATCCTTAGCCCACAAACCAGGAGAGCTGAATGCAAAGGGACTCAGCAACAGTTTAATTCTAAGACTCTGAACAAGGCAAAAGTGAACACAAAGTCGGCTAAGAAGGCAAGTTACCATAGAGAATTGCACCATATTTCATAGAAGAAAAAAATAAGACACAGAGAGAAAATACTGCTGTCCAGTGGCCTCTTTTGCCCACCTCATTAGTCCCGGAATACAGATTCAAGACGCAGGGATCCTGGATATCACCCCAGGTCAGTGGCTAGGCCAGTCAGTACAGGAGATCCTTCTGAATGGGGCTTAGAGCAAGTTTCACCTCCCACCACCATGTGCAAGACTGACATGACACCATGGCAGGAGGTGACAGAGGAACCCCATCATCTCAGAAACGTGACAACCGCTCCACTCACAGATTCACCAAAATGCACACAGATTCAACTTGCGATCTCAACTCTGAAGACCGGCAGAGAGACACAGCGACCACACCACCACCACCACCGCCGACGACGACGACGACGACAGCAAAACATATGAATGAGCCAGTAGAAATGAATTAGCAAACTTTTAGTGAGATAACAACTTGGATGATAAAAACCGAGCTGCCGTCTCTCAATCAAAAAATGTCACACCTGAAACGTTGTAGGGCTCAGTAAGTACCGAAGCGCACACGGGGGTGCGGAGGAAACGAGTGGAAATGGGGAGGGGGGGGCGCTAGGTGCTCCAAGGGGACTTACTGTACCTGTGTCCACATCCTTCACCTGTTGCCTGGCTCGAGCCGGCCGGCTCCACTTGGAGCTCTTGCAGGACCAGCCCTTTATCGTGTGGTCCCGGAAAGTCCATGCCTGGCACCTCCTCCTCCTCTAGAGACTCCACGTAGAAGAGAGTCCGGGCTGGCTGTTGGGTGCCCTGCCCGGGCGCCCCTTGCTGCAGCCTGGTGGCCACTGGCAGCAGGGTGCCATTCAGCGGGTTAAAGGGAGAGGAGGAAGAGGACGGGGAGGAGGACGAAGAAGAGGAGGAAGAGGAAGGCTTCTTCCAGAAAGTGCTCACGCTGCCCTTCTCTTGGCTCTTGAGCAGGCGGCTCTGGCTGGGCCCCCAGTGCTCGAAGCTGCCGCTGCCGTCCTGTTGCAGGCAGCCGCCCCCCGCAGGGCCGCCGGGGGCCGGCGACGGGTGGCTGAAGAGTTTCCAGCGGAGGCGCAGGATGTGCTTCACATCGAAGTCCTTTCGCCCGGAGCCAGACATGCTTGACGCAAGACGGCCACGAGAGCTCAGCTGGCGCGGGAGGAGACGGGCGGGCTGGTGGGGGAGGCCGGCGGAGCCCGCGGAGCGCGCGGCCGGAGGAGGAGGCGGAGGAGGCGGAGGAGGCGGAGGAGGCTGCGCCCTCTGCGCCCCGGGAGCCGGCGCGGCCCGGCGGGCTGCGCGCCCTGCGAGCCCTGCGAGCCCTGCGAGCCCTGCGCGCCCTGCGAGCCCTGCCGGGCAACCGCCCGAGCGCGGACGGCACAGCCGCGCGGCTCAGCAGCGGTCAGGTCCGGGGGCACCCGCGCGCGGGGGGCCCGCCGGCCGTGAGCAGAGGCAGCAGCCGGGCGCCGAGGGCAGAGGATCCGCGATGCGCGCTCGGGGGCCCCGTGGTTACGGCCGGGAGGGGCGACCCTGCTGATGGAGGTGCGCGGAGAAGGCAGGTCTGCGCGCTCCGAAGCTCGGGAGGCGGCGGCGGCTGGGGACCCCTCCCTGGGATGCACCCGTGGCAGAGCCTCCGTCGGGAAGGTGTCGGCTCTCCTGTCCTTGCAGCTCAGAGTTCAGCGCCTGGGGAGCGCAGAGAGACAGAGAGACACGGAGAGAAAGAGCCCCAAGTCGCCAAGAAGCGCACCCCCTAGTCTTCTCGGTGCACCTGCGCGCCTGTCCCTGGCCTCTCCAAGGATGCTCTGGGAGCTTGCCCGGGTATCTTTGAGAAAGTCAGATGCCTTCTGCAAGGCGAGAAGGGGTGGCTTATATATATATATATATATATATATATATATATATATATATATATATAGTCAGTGTGTAAAAGAGAAAAACAAATATTCCAGAAAATATAGGGAGGCAAAAGGAAAAACCCGCCCGTGAAGCTGTCAAGGTCCTCACAGTACAATTTTCTCTCTGCCTCAGCGCCTCCTCCTCCCCTGCAAGTGACGCAGATGTGCACTGGGGCCTATACGGAGAGATGGAGGGAGGGAGGGAAGGCTTCAATCTTCTTTATGCAAGTGAGCCTGCCGCTCTTATTGTCCCCTTGCTGGGTCCTGTCACCTTTTTTTTCATCCCCCTTCCTCACTACATTACTGGGTAGCAATAAAAGTAAAGCAAACAGGCATTATGCTTTAGCATCAGTAAACACCAAACACGAATCATGGCAGCGGAAACTTAATAGGCTGCCATCGGTTTGCAGGTTGCAGGTTAATGGCTTGAATTATTTAATAAACCGCATCCTTTAACCTTTAGCCTTAGTTTCTCTGTGGTGAGACACAGAAGAAACAGTGATGCTGGCGTCAAAGTGTGATAATGCCACCGTTCTGACACTTACATGGTGAGTCTGCCATTAATACACTCAGGCAGTGCTTCACCCTGGGGGCCAGAGGCACCCGGTAGAAATATGAAGATGGGCATCTGAGCACAGGGGGGGACTTTTGCAAAATCAGTGCATTTGGTGTGTAGCCTTAGAATGAAAGCTGTTCCCAATGTAAACAAAGAAGTGGAATAAAATGATACAGGAGAATTTCAAGGCAGAACCTTCTGGTGCACAAATCGTGATATGAAATGCATGGAAGAGTTTAGGCAATATCTATCTCCAAAGACTACTATCCTGCAAAAATCTCCTGCTTGAAGAAGGAAAGATGTATTTTCCCTTATACCGAGATTTAGAATGATGAGGATTATGATGCCTTTCCAGCTATGACTACTTGGACATTTTTCATCTTTTCCTTTAATGGGCCATTAAAATAGAGCCCAGTCACCTTTGCTGAAGGCAGAAGGGGGTCAAAGAGTCAGGAAGGTCCCCCAAGAACACCGGAAAGGTGGTTGTTGTCCATTCATGGACTTCACAGCTTCAGCAACCTCCAACAGGGCTCAGGAATCAAATATTCAAGTGCAGTTATATTACTGTTCTGTTAGTTACCCTGTTGTGGAGCAGTAAACGGAAATAAAAACCAAAGCTACATATGAAGTCCTTCTTAGGCAAAGTTGGACATTTTAATAAAACAAGAAATTAAGCACACATTTTCCCCCACTTTGACGGAAAGAAAAATCACTGTTGTGCATTTTAAATATTGATTTATGCCACTACAGCTGGACTGCCTTGACTTTTCTTTCAGTATTCAGTGTTAAGAAAAAAGAAGAAAGAAATAAAGAAGAAAGAAAGAAAGAAAGAAAGAAAGAAAGAAAGAAAGAAAAGAAAGAAAGAAAGAAAAGAAAGAAAGCCCTTTAAAGCAAACAATGGTGACAGATCATTTTTATCCAAGAACTGAATCAAGTAAGTATTTCCCTTAGGGAAGAAAACAGTGTATGAAATTACACATCACAAACAGGACAGAGAAAACTTTCCATCAGAGGTAATGCAGAAATTCAGGCACATATAATTAAATGATTTCTAAAGAAATTGGTGCTTCAGATTTTTCTAACTTGACATAATTTTTAATTTAATTAAAATAACAAAAGTAATATAAGTCTGTTACATATATATATTCTTCATTAATCAATATCTAATCATCAAAAACTGTAATGTAAAATTAATTTTTTTGGTATTCTGAAATTCAAATTTTGTATTGCCCTTTTAATCTGAAATACTGATATTACTGTTATACGGCTTAAAAGTTGTCTATTTAAAGGTCAATAATATATATGATCCAAAAGAGATGTAATATTGAGTTTCACTATGAGGGAACATAAATTAAAACATTAATTCATATTTAACAAATGATGACTATGGTAGTTAGTCTGGTATGATATTTAGTACATTTTCTTAGTCTTTGGTAGTCTTAAAGTAGTATTTTGTACGTGGAAAACACTGTTGCAAATGAATTGTTTAAAATAGCTATTTTTCCATATTTATCAATCTGTATACAATAGTCACTCTTGCTGAGGAACATATTTAAACATAATTCATTTAAATTATCAAGTAAAAGATTTAGGATTTAGAATATAGGGTATGCCTGAAATTATGCTAAAGTGAAACGACTGAAGATGATTGATTATATTCTTAAACTTTAGTATTTATTTATTATTTATTAATTATTATTACTATACTATTATTGGAAAAGAAGGAGAGAAGGAGGGGAGGAGAAAATGAATAAAGGAAGGAGGGAAAGAAAGGAAAAGACAGAAGAAGAAAGGAAGAAAGAAGAAGGAGAAAGAGAAAAAAGAATGATGGAAGGAAGAAAAGAAAGAAGAAAAGGAAATAAAAGAATTAATTTACTAAGATATCATGACTTAGCTTTACATATCAGAAAAAATGCTTGAAAAATTATGCCTTTTCAAATACTGTGCTCATTAATTTGTTTACCCACTATTCAAAATTAAAAAAAAAATTAACTGAGCACTTATTGCCTTCTGGGTCCAATGCCAAGTAGTAGCACATATGGAACAAGCAAGCAGGTTCTTTGCTGGAACCTGGCTGGAAGAGCCAACCAAAAAGATTGGTTAGCCAGTCATAATTAATAATTGACTTGCAAGTCAATTAAATTAAGATTTAAGATAACCAAGTTTATAAGAAGAGGACATTGACATAATAAAGATCACTTTTTAAAAGAATCATAATAATCACTTTGTTACATTTTGTTTTAAAGGCAAAAACAATTATTCTAATCCTATTTAATTAAATTGAACTGTCATTTTAGCCAATCAAGATCTTTCAAATGAGTGTTCATAGTACTGCATAATTCCCTGACACAACCTGAGCAAAAAAGATTAATCGGGATACTAAACACTTGAGGATGCTCATATACAAAACTCTTCATAATTATTAAATCCACAATGGATGTTAAATATGCCACACTGAAAGTTCCTATAACTCTAACATTTAAGCAATAAACAAAGTTGCATTTAGACCCAAGCATTTTCTTGGTTGAGGACTCTTCCCTTTTAGTAATTGTTTTCTTTCTTTCTTTTTTTTTTTTTTTTAGTAATTGTTTTCTAAACAGAGTTAGATGTGTGCTTATCCAGGAAAAGTGAATTCTGATTCTCTTCCTTTTGACAGCCCTTCTAGGATGTCAAATAAGTCGCCTCTATATAGTAACACTCAACAAAAGCATTTAAACGACTAATTATGCTCCAGTTTGAATAATCATGTGCTATTATGGTGGCTGTATTTTGTTTTTTGGTTGATCTTTGTTTTATTTTAATGATGTATTTCTATATACATTACTAGAAAATATCCTTTAAAACAAGTGGATACCATTTAAAATGAATGTACAGCATTGTGGATGTGGAAATTAAATGAAGACCATTTTGTAATGACATTTTCTTTCCAAAGATGAATGAAACACAATAACATATAGCACTAATATTAATCTTATGTAAGTATGTATGATCTTATGTATAATATCAAGGACTGCTACTCTTTCTTAAAACAGATATAACCTGTTCAAAGTCTATTAATCTTCACTACAGTATAGGTATAGTTTAGTTAAGTAGCAATTGAATGACTGCTTAAGAAACATCATTTGTAGGCGTTAATTGATCCTCAGGGGCCATTTTAATCCACTCTACCTCTTTGGTTTATTTGACCTTTTGATTTGAATCAGGCAATAAGTGTATATACTTAAGGAATTATCATATGCAAATTGCTGAGTTAATTACATGAATTAGGAATGCACAATGGCACTAAAATAATGCAGTCATATTTATGATGACTCAGGTTTTATTTAAATACCTTTTTATTTCCCAAAATAATGGGCAGAATGTCCAATAATGTCCTAGGTTCTGTTTGGTTAATCACTCTGGTCAGGGCAATACGATATGATCAAAGGAACTCTTACCTCTTTTATGAAAATATTTCCACAACTATGTAAATATAGATTTATATATGTGGGCATATTTAATGTAGATATAGGTATATTTAATATATATATATATAATTATTTTCCAAGAATGCTTTCTACTGTAGAAAACATTTGGAGGAATCATATTATTTTGTACAATACAGCAATCTTTTAAAGAGAAAATTGCTTAACTAATACTTTGTATTTTCCAGAGTGTTATGATTTCCATAG